ATAAATATTTGAAAAAGTAAATTTATAAATTAATCTTATTATATTAAATTATAAATATTAATACCAACGACATGTTAGTTTGAATAAAAAGAGTTGAATTCTTTTAAAAAAAATTTCTTATGAGGTCCAACAAAACTTAACTCTAAATTAGTTAAATCTATGACTTATTTGATATCACAGTGGTAGGATAGCAATTAACGGTCTTACTTAAACTACTAAGTATATCTATTTGGTAAATTTATATATTTCGAAACCGTTACAAATAAAGTATTTAATAAAATTTTTATTTAGTGGTTTGAGACTAACGAATAACGGTTAAAGTCCAAACCGTTATCGGATTGAACAAACTAGTTTAGGTAATTTTTTATACCAAATCACTAGCGGATTGAAAAAGTTAATTTTGGTAATTTTTTATACCAAATCACTAGCGGATCAAAATTTTTTAATTTTATTGATAAATTTATCCTTTTTAATTGTTAAAATTTTGTCATAGTTTTTAATTAATATTCACTAATAAATTTCAATTTTGTTTTTTTACCTTTAATAATATTAAGTGATTATAATATTTTTATTTTTTACATTAATTTATCATTAAAATATCTATTATCTTAAAAAAAATTTACTAATTAGACAAAATGATTAATTTTTTATTTAAAAAAATATAATTATTTGTTAAAAATAAAAATGATGGTGTAATTACATTATTATAATTAATTTTATTTATTTATTTTCTTATTATTATTTTTATAAAATTAATGTTTTTAATAATAATAAAATAAAAAATTATTTAGAAAAAATACACTTAATTGTTTTAAAACATATCTTTATTAGTCATTTAATATTAAACAACAACTGCTAACTATTATTTAATCAAACAGTTATATCTATCGAATCTATTATTTACTATCTATTACTCATTTTTTGCTATCTATTATTTATTATCTGCTAATTATCACTCATTACCTACTATTTCCTACTCACTATCCACTATCTATAAATATCCACTACCCGTTTTTTGTTATTTATTGAATTTTAACCGTTATACAAAACAGATCCTAAGTTACTTACATAACATTGATTTTATTAATTATGAAAAACATAATTGCTTA